GGTGCAATGGCTATTTTGCTGCTGCAAATTGAAATAGCCAATAGGAATCTAGCAATGCATTCCTATGGTGAACATTTATTTTTTTTATTCTGACAGCAGCCAACGGCTCCATGTCAGAAATAAATAAAGCAGGGAACCTTTCTTGGAAAAAGTGTTTCTCTCCTGGGCGGCCGGGAGCAGGAGACTCCCGGAGCGCCTGGGAGAGTTTGCTATATGGAGATCAGTGTCCCTGGTTAGCTGGTACCCAGGGACGCTATTCTCTCTGTAAGTGGCCGGAGCCAGCCGTGAGATGACAGCTGGCTCCGCCCAGCTGTCAGAAGCAGGACTTTCCCCAAGCTTTTTACTCTACATCAGGAGTGGGCAACCTCGGCACTCCAGCTATGGTGTAAGTAAAAATCCCACCATACCTCCGCCTCTGGGAGTCATACCTGTAGCTGTCTTGCAATGCCTCATGGTACTTGTAAGTTCCATAACAGCTGGAGTGCCAAGGTTGCCTACCCCTGCTCTACATTAAGTTCTGACACATTAATGATGCTCAGTGTCAGAAAGTATTACAAGTTAAAACAGTTTATGAGGCCTGTGACAACCCCTTTAAACCTTTACACACCTACTCTCATGGATTATGTTGTGCAGAGGTGACAGATCAGACTACAAAGCTTTGGAACATAAGCCAGATTGCAGGTACAGATTACTCAGCAAAATCACATCAAGTTACTCTATCGGAGGTACTATATTTTATAAACATAGGCTAAAGGTATATTTTTGGATTATTGGAACAAACTGGAAGACCTGCAAAAAATGCACACCAACATAACAAACACATAACCATCATACATATAGGAGTCCAGAAAGCCAGTAATTGAATGACAGAAATAAATGGTTTGGCCATTTCATACACAGTTTTTTTTAGTAGTGATGACATGTTTGTTTTTAAAAAAAAATGTTTGCCTTACATATAGTTTAGCTAGTTGTGTTGGAAATTTGGGCGTTTTTTAAAGGCTGACTCCAGACTGTTAAATAAATGGGAACCATTTTCACTAGAGAAATATCTGTGAAATATCTTGTGAATCCCCCCTTTCCTCCGCTCAGTATGCTAAATGGATGAATAAAATAAAGAGGGTGGTAACAATTTTCTACTCATCTACTACCCGCTCTTAAAACTACTAGTGTACATTATACCCATTTTCTTTCCTCCGTCACAATGTTCCTCCACCTTTCTTCCTTCGTCACAATGTACTGCCACCTTTCTTCGTCCGTCACATGTACCTCCACCTTCCTTCCTCCGCCACAATGTACCTCCACCTTCCTTCCTCCGCCACAATGTACCTCCACCTTCCTTCCTCCGTCACAATACCTCCATCTTCCTTCCTCCGTCACAATGTACCTCCACCTTCCTTCCTCTGTAACAATGTACCTCCACCTTCCTTCCTCCGCCACAATGTACCTCCACCTTCCTGCGTCACAATACCTCCAACTTCCTCCCTCTGTCACAATGTACCTCCACCTTCCTTCCTCTGTAACATTGTACCTCCACCTTCCTTCCTACATCACAATACCTCCATCTTCCTTCCTCCGTCACAATGTACCTCCACCTTCCTTCCTCTGTAACAATGTACCTCCACCTTCCTTCCCCCGCCACAATGTACCTCCACCTTCCTGCGTCACAATACCTCCAACTTCCTCCCTCTGTCACAATGTACCTCCACCTTCCTTCCTCTGTAACATTGTACCTCCACCTTCCTTCCTACATCACAATACCTCCATCTTCCTTCCTCCGTCACAATGTACCTCCACCTTCCTTCCTCTGTAACAATGTACCTCCACCTTCCTTCCTCCGCCACAATGTACCTCCACCTTCCTGCGTCACAATACCTCCAACTTCCTCCCTCTGTCACAATGTACCTCCACCTTCCTTCCTCTGTAACATTGTACCTCCACCTTCCTTCCTCCGCCACAATGTACCTCCACCTTCTTTCCTCGGTCACAATACCTCCATCTCCCTTCCTCTGTCACAATGTACCTCCACCTTCCTTCCTCTGTAATAATGTACTTCCACCTTCCTTCCTCTGTCACAATGTAACTCCACCTTCCTTCCTCCATCACAGTGTACCTCCTTTATCCATCACAATGCACCTTCACCTTTCTTCCTTCATCGCAATGTAACTCCACCTTCCTTCTTCCGACACAATATAACTTCACCTTCTATCCTCCATCATAATATTCCTTCACATTCCTTCCTCCATGACAATGTACCTCCACCTTCCATTCTCCGTTACAACGTACCTCCACCTTCCATCCTCCGTCACAATATACCTCCACCTTCCTTCCTCTGTCACAATGTACCCCTACCTTCCTTCCTCCATCACAATGTACCCCCACCTTCCTTCCGCCGTCACAATGTACCTCCACCTTCCTTTTTCTGTTGCAAAGCCAACCCTCTTCTTGTCAGCTTTCAGACTAGGCATCTCCACTGAAAGCTTGATTTTATCTTTCAGATGATGTTTGAAATTAGTTTATAAAAACATTTAAGAAGTTACATTAGCTGAACAGAATAATTACTTCATATCACTTCTAAACAAAACAATTTAAAAAACAAACATATTAATCTATATTTGTTGTGTAATCATTACATTTGCTGTTTAACATACTAGGACCATCTGATTGGACAGGTAACATTTTAATATTACTGATAATATACAGGCCATTTAAAGGGAACCTGTGAGAATAAAGATATAACACAGAAAGGGCTTTTCCTGGAGAACTGGCCAATTGTTCTCTGAGGATAAAACTCTGGATAATGGACTATGGGCATCTAATGTTTTCGAAAGCCTTACATTTAGAAAACAAGCTGATTGCATCTCCAAAATATAAAACAGAAGGTATTCCAAGACACAGTATGGGTTTACTTTCTGACACAGAAGCATATTTTAGCTGTCTGTCTGAATACAATAATGTCTGTGATATACTCAAATCTAATTTTCTAGATACAGTACATTGATGTCAAGTGTAACAGCGACAACATCTTTATTATGTCTCTTGTAGGCAATGCTTATCACAGCCACTACACAATGCTGCTAAAATGCAAATCAAAATCTATTATTTAGTGGCTTTGAACATGATGAATGTAGAATTCCTCAATAAAAAACTCTCCATGTGCTCTAAATCACAAATACAATATATAATTTTAAATGAGGAACAAGAAGTTTACAAAAGAACTTGTTGTGTTCTGTCCATTGGCCCTATATGCAACAGTTGCCAGATTCACACCACACACTATCCACACTGGATAAAGCAAGCAGTTAAAGAATACCTCTACTAATGGAAACAAAGAGGCTTCTATTGATGACTTCTCATTCTGCAAATGCTAGTTGCCTGGCTGTAATAATGACCCTCTTGCGTTAACCTAGAAAAGGTATGTAGATAATGGCTTCTTTTTTCACTCTGGCTTTTGAGATATGCATATACCGTATGTTTCGAGTCAGTGACTCAAAAAGTATTGAAGCCAATGGATCAGCATAACAGCAGGGTAACATGCATTTTTATCAGGAGGTTGTCAATGGCAGTCCCTATAATTCGTTAAGGAAAAATTTACTTTAACAGTGACCCTATAAGTTAATTTCCATTCATCACAGTGGGAGTTACATAACACATATCACAGACAAAAGCTTATGTTGTGGAAGCTCTGCCGATAGAGATATGTAGATTGGTTGTGACTTCTGTAAAGAAACTTTTTTAGCCAAGGGAGAAGAAACTACGCTATTAAAAATAATTTACAAAAAAGAACATCAAAGATACCTGTATCTTCTTACTACTGGAAAATGCCTATAGCCATTTAAGAATTTTTACAAAAAAATCTAAGGAATGGTCTAAAAAAAAAAACAGCATGTGTTGCCTTCAGCAACCCTTAGCTGCCTTTTACGTTTCATGGGTAGAACAGAAAGTGAGGAAATTAACTGGCTGTTGTTTTTCAGATATTTCTCAGCATAAGGTCCCGTGCAGATGACTATAAAATCTGTAAAGTGTGTTTACTGCACAAAACAACCAATCAGAATCTAGCAGACTTATTAAGTCAATCACTGTAAACAGCAATAATAAGTGCAATAACCCACAGTAACCAGTCAGAATATGTCTGTTTTTCAACCAACAACACATTGCTGTAGCTCCTTTGCATGTCATCTCTTCTCTTGCCTTACCAAGTCTGTAGCTCTTATTCTTCTGAAGCAACTGGCAAAAAATAAATTATATGACTGATTGCTAAGCCCAGTGCAGACACGTTTCCTTCCATTAGTTATATTCCATAAATAAATATGCAATGCAAATAAATAAAGTACCACAGTCTTTACAATTTCTAAATGCACAAAATATATATATATATATATCTCACATAAAATAAAACAGTACCTTTCATTGGCTGCTCCTTCTATGCACAGCCTGGGACTTGGGGGAAGAACCAGAGGCTCAGAAGATGTGGGTGTCATCATCTTTTTGGGGAATGACCTCTCAGAGTGGAGAACACTGCGCAGCTTCTGAGTAAAACTTAAAGAGTCAGTTGGTGGGAACGTTGGGCTTCTGATTGCTGGGGAAGAAGGTGCCGGCTCAGCTGGTAAAGTAGCTTGGAAAGCACTGATAGAAGAAAGGTCACTTCTTGATGTATCTATATCAGGAGCTACTGGTGGAATGGGTATAATGGAAGAATCCTGCTTGTCCTCAATGGCTGTTTCTGTGTTACATGGTAACAATTCCATTTGGTCAGATTTAGCCTGTATGAATTTGGTTTCTGCAAACGAAGAGCCACATGTTTCTACTACATAATTTTTCTCTTGTGTGCCAATTAGCTCCATGGGAGTTACAGCCAATGCTGAAGTTGTTGAGTCATCAGGAGGAGGGCTTATCTGTTCAGAAGCATTATTTATCTTGTTTTCAGTTAAAAGTGGCTCATCAGATAGAATTTCTGTCTCCTTGACAGCAAAGCAAGGCAAGTCAGATAATATTCCCTTCTCTTTTTGTATTGAATCTAAGTGATCGGACATTATTGCTGTCTCTTTAACCTCAAGAACATCATCTACTCCCAAGACAGCTGAGTGAAAGCCCCGTGTTACAGCATCAGTGTTTTCAAGGTCTTTTTCACAAAGTTCTTGTTTTAGATGATCATAAACAAATGCATCACTGATTTTGGGACTCATTGTTGAATGCACAAAGTTTTCGGCTTTCTTCTTAGGAAGAAAATATGAACCTTCTGGGATTATTTCAGGTTGACAGTGGACATCAGAAAGTAAGGATAACGGTACTTCACATGTTTTGTCTTGTTCAGAATGAGCATTTTCCACCTCTAAGGCTAGCTTGATTGGTTGCCCTAAAGAAAATGCAGACTCTCCACTGTACATTGTTTGCTGTAGATTAAAAGGTGCTGAGGACTGCATGCTGAGACACTGCATGTTAGACACTACGTCCAATTCATGGTTTACTTGAGATGATGTGTCATTTACGATGGGTAAAGTATCTGCTAATGCAGTTACATCTGGTGCTATACCTTTGTCTTCTGTGAACCTGGCAACATCATCTGTATTAATGCTTGTATGCTCCTTTGTTGAAGTGATGATTGTTGTTTCTCCATCAGGTCTAACGTGAGGCATACCTTCAGATCTCATCTCAGGATGTTTTTCTTGAGGGTGTATTTCCTCATGAGTATTGTGATGCTGGATATTAAGTGCTTCCTCTGATTTTTCTGGTTTAAAACTATGTGCAAGGGAGCTTTCTGGAAGTTCGTTCTTGGACTTAACAGACGCTGCATGATGGGTCCTATCTTTAGAGACTCCTGCAATTTTCCCATCTACCTTGGAAATCTGAGAACCATCATTCTGGTCATCATAAACTAGTGGATATGTTGTTCTAGAACTTCCCAAGTCATCTGTTGGATAATCAGTGGTATTTACCTGGCTTTCTATTAACTTTTTCAATTCAGTGTTTACAGGCTGTGATTGTTCTGCAGGCACGGCTCTTGGTAAAGGAAGCGAATTGGGGGACTGCTCTCCACCCACAGTACTTGGAACTTCTAAGATTTGCTGATTATCCCCTATTGAACTGCTTTCGTCAGTTAGAATATCCTTGGCCTGATCAATGTAGCTAAATTTTTCCACTGTTTCTTCACTGGAATAATGCTCAATGTGATCAAAAAGTGACACAAGCTGAAATGTATTATTGTTTTCCGCTGCCAATTTTGGATTGTCAATAACAGATTCAATGTCAAGTGAGACAGTACCACCTACAGTCAATTCCTGTAGTTGATTATTTGTCGCTTGAAGATTTTGTACCATTACATCTTTACTGGAAGTGATATCTATGACATCATGTTTTACAGACTCTATCTGGATTTCAGTACATAACTTTGTCTTGCTTTCTGGACATATGGATGTTATAGGAGATGCATTTTGTCCGTTATCACTAGGAGGAAGAGAAAGAGGTTGCATTTCATGTTGTGAATTGTAGTTCTCTGATGTTTTCATCGTGGGAATCTGCGAGACTTCAGATCCTAAGACTAAACAAGGAATATGTGTTTCTTCATCTGTTTTATCATACTCAACCTGATATAAAGGACTTGCCATTACTTTGTTAGTGCTGTCAACATAAATACTTTCATTGCTTGGTTTTACAGATTCCATCTTAATTTCAGCACCTACTTTTGTTGGATCCTCTGGATGAATATCTGAAGTTGCTTTCCGCCCATCATCACATGGAGTAAGTGGAACAGGTGACATTTCCTGTTTTGACTTAAGGTTCTTATCTAATTCTTCCGTTATTGGAATTTGCATAACTTCAGATTCTAAGGCTAAATTAGGAACAGGTGTTTCTTTAAAAGTCTTGTCAAACCCATCCTGATATAAAGGCCTTGGTATCACTTCATTAAAGTTGTGAATATCATCATTGCTTGGTTTTACAGACTCCTCCTTGACTTTAGCACATACCTTTGTTGGACCCTCTTGACAAATGTTAATTGTTGCATTTTGTCCATTATCACTTGAAGAAAGAGGAACACTTGACATTTCCTGTTGTGACTGGACGTTTTGTCCTGGTGCTTCCAGTGTAGGAATTTGCATGACTTCGGATTCCATGGTTACACCAGTAACAGGTGTTTCGTCATCTGTCTTTTCACAGACATCCTGATAAAGAGCACTTGTAGTTACTACATTAATACCGTCCATAAGAATGTTATCGTTGGACGCTGACATTTGCATAGGGAGTCCTTTGTCAGCTGGCATTTGAAGCTGGTTGTTTGCATCTACTGGTATTCTGAAATGAGCTTCAGGAGTCCCATTATTTGCTTTATGTGTACCTGTAGACAGTTCTAAATTTTCCACTTTCTGGACTTCAGTCTTTGATCCTGGTGAATGATTTTCCTCTTTCAGATTTTTACTGACATCGAACTGACCTTTACTGCCATGCAGTCCTGTAGCATCTGTGTCGCCAGTTGTAGATACAGTCTTATTCACTTCATCATTTATGACTGGAAAGGCTGAAGTACATGCAATAGCAAGATCCGGTGTTCTGGAAGTAAGCACTCTGTCCTCTGGTACCTTGTCAAGACTGGACAGTTTGTCAGAGATCAGCCGGGGTGTGTCTTTTGAGGAAGCTTTTTCTTGCTGACTTAAAATAATCAAGGGAACCTCCTCACTCTTTGTAGACCTGCTCTCCAGGTTTGGCTTGTTATCGACTCCCTCTATAAATGCAGAGGCGTTCTGTAGTGGCTGAACTTTGGACGACTCTCGTAATGTACTGTAATCTGGCTTGAGGTTCTGCCTCTCCACATCAGACAGGAAAAGCAGTTGTAGTTTACAATCAACGTCGAAGCTTTGCCTTTGATGTGCAAGATTTACAGTCATGTCAAGCCCACCTTGGTCTTGGCTAACCTCTGTCATAGTTTCAGCTGATATAATCGTGCAGATTTTATTCAGTGAATTTGTCTGTTCACCCTCTGGACATAGCTTATACTCATAGTCCATAGCAGTCCCAGTTTCACAGAATGGTGGAGAAAGGTCTGCCTGTGGAGGAAGAAGATGGACCTTTTCTTTGGGAAACATTTCAAATATGGTATTTAAAGGCTGTGCTGCAACATCTTGTAAAACCTGGGTGGATGGGGAGTATCCCATATCACTAGGACACACAGAAACTGATAAATTAGTGGTTTCTATATCAGTCTGTGCAGCTTTTCTAAGATGGGTGGCTGAGCTAACCCTGTCATTATCAGGCTTTTCATTGGCATTGCTGTGCATATAATTTTCAACAATTCCCATAAAACTCTCTTCCCCTGTTACTGAAACCTGTTCTTTGGCTGTGCTGCTAGGCTTATTGCCACATAGAGCTGAAGGCGGAAATTCCGTTTTTTTCTGATCGACTGTCTGCTCATCCTGAATTGGAGTTACGTCTTTGTTCTCCCTGGTTGACTGAGCTGTGGGAACTTGGGAATGACTGTATTGCCATGTTTTTGTAATGTCCTCCTGTAAGTCAGGGCATGGTTCTGCCAGATATAATTCCAATGTATTGAGAGAAAAAGTTGGCACATCTTCCAAAAGTAAGTTGTTTATATAGCTCTGTGTTGTATTGTCCTTTGTCATTTGTGCCATATCATAAGCTTGATTCATCCCTATATCTTGGTCACATGTAAGAGCTTTCTGCAAAACATCGACATTTTGTAAAGGGACTACCTTATCAGCAGATCCAGAGAAAATTTCAACATCTGTTTCCTGGCAAGGCTGACCTTTTTTGAAGCCACCGTGGTCACTCAGGATTATACTGTGTTTGTCATTGACTAAGTCTGTGTGAGGGACAATATTAATCTGTGGACCTGAGTCTCCCTTTATATCATATAATGTAGCTGTGATGCTATTAGCTGCATGGGGGAGTTTGGATTCTTCGTGCATTGTTGGAAACTGATCACTCTTCGGACTCAACAAATCAGAGGTATTTGCATTTTCAACAATGGCATCTAATTGTTCTTCTTTTTTATCTATATTAGCTCCAGCATCTTCAAAATTGTTTATGCAAAAATTCGCACTATTTATTGTTGGAATTTCCATTGCGTCTTTTTTGATGTCTGATTGAATGTTCTCAGTTAAATTCGTCTCGGTTTGATCAGCCTTATTGTTTAAGTCATCAGGATACCTCTTAGTGTCACCATCCAAATCCTCTGATTGAATGCCAGGAAAACTGTAATCAGATGTTATTTTACCCATCTGTACCAACAGTCCTTCTGCCTGTGCAGCCTGATACTGTGGATTCGGCAATGATTTAACAGGATTACTGTAATGTGAACTATGCTCTGACTCTAGTGGATTCCGATCAAATAACTGAACTACAGGGATGACTCCACTATAGAGAAAGCTATCTTCAAGTCTACATGCAGTGTCAAGTTTGTCTTCATTGCCTTCTGAATTTCTAATGGTTGTTAAAGGTAGGATTGGGTTGCCCGGACTTCCCGTCTGTAGATTTGTATCACCTGTATTTAAATCATTGAAGTCATCAAAACTGCACAATTGTTGCTGTTCTGTCTGAGCAGTAACATTATCCCTGGATTCTCCTTTTTCTTGTTTAGATAGTTTATTGAGGTTCTTCAGTATTGTGTCTGGTTGTAATGGTTCTTCATTTCTAGAGAATATAAGTGAAGGTGCTGGAATTAGCTGTGGAGTGGCAGTTAGAAGTTGAATATTAGGTTCCCCTAGACTCCAATTGCCATAATCTAGAATATCGCTGGCATTAAAATGAGTAACAGAAGCGTCTGCATCAGAAGCTGTTATATCGTGAATTCCAGGTAAATCTGCACATTCTTCCTTTTTCCCTTGTGCTTGTACACCGCAGGAATCACTAATTGTGGAAAAAGTTTCTTCGGGAGATGGCTCAGTCCATGGCATCCATACTGTATCCTTCCTGTCTTCCACTTTTTTACTAACAATTTTGTCTGGCATCACTTGCTGTCCCCATTCTCTGAGTATCCCAACCAGTCCTATGTCTTCTGATGCACCATAACTGTCTTCTTCACTTGTCTCTTCCCTGGAGAGGATGATGCAGTCAGTAAGAGGATTGGTACAGTTCATTAAGATCTGTAGATGTGCAACACAAGATGACAAGCAATGACAGCCAAAATCAGCAGCAACAAGCAAAAGCTACAAAAGCCAAGTAAAGGATCAAGA